CGACGTCAGGCAGAAACGTCAAAGGTGGGAGACGTCTGGCACTGCGTCTGCTAAGTGTGACGATTTGAGGCCCATTCTCCATACAACGGGAGAGACCCACGTCCAGCAGTGAATTTTTGGAGCTGATGATGAAGAAGAAGACGACCTTATAGTTTCATCATCATCATCATTACAGCCTTTCACAAGTCCAACGCTGAACATAGGCCTCTCCCAAGGAATGCCACAAAGCACGGTCCCGTGCCACCTGCATCCATCGACTTCCTGCATGTCTTACCAGGTCGTTACTCCATCTAGTGGGGGGACACCCTACACTTCGTCCGCCGGTACGAGGCTTTTTTCCGTTGGGCTATGTCGGTCACTCTGGTTATATTGCGGATATCCTCATTTCTAAGTTTATTACGCAGAGAAACCCCGAGCATAGCCCTCTCCATAGCTCGCTGAGCGACCTTGAGCTTCCTCATACGGCCAGCAGTGAAGGACCACGTCGCAGATCCGTAAGTCGACGGAGTTTCGACGGAGTCTAAGGCTTTCTCATAATCCACATACGCAAGGTAAAGTGGCAGATTATACTCCTCTGTCTTCTGTACAATCTGCCGCAGGGTATGTATGTAGTCTATGGTGCTAAAGCCTTTTCGGAAACCGGCTTGTTCGGGAGGCTGGAAGTCGTCAAGTCTGCGTGCGAGACGATTCGAAATGACTCTCGAAAACAGCACGTAGACGCGGCTCAGAAGGGAAATCAGTCTGTAGTTCTTCAAGAGAGAGTTGTCGCCTTTCTTGAAGAACAAGACCACCGCACTTCTGCTCCGGAGCAGTGCCACCATGGAGGACGGAATTAAAGAGCTTCTGAAGGACTTCAAGTACCGGTTTTCCACCTGCTTTCAAAAGTTCCGCTGTAATTCCATCCTCGCCTGGAATTGTATTCAAAAGTTGGCGCAATTGTATAATACCTGGTACTTTTATTTCAATATTTTTTCGCGGAGGGTAGATTTTGTGAAAATAACTCAATTAGATATTTTTTAAAATGATTCATCCGTTCGATTAATGTAAAGAAAAATAAATTTGTTTTCACGCTGATTTGGCCGATTTCAGACCTATTATCCATAGAAAAGTAAAAAGTAGTTCATTTTTGTATCCAATTTTGGTATTAAACAAAATACATTCAAAATTACAATACATACTGTAGCGGACAGCGAAGGAGGCCGCCGCCCCGTTGCCCCTTCACACCCCGTTGCGCCCCGCGCACCCTGCACACCGGCAGCAGATCAAGCGATGTCGCCGCCCAATCAGCGCGCGGCATCGCCTTACGACGCTACTCACGAACCGAGACGCTCTCTTGCGGGATATAAGAGGGGCGTTTTGGTCTGTGAGTTGTTCATTTCGGAAGCGGCACTAAAAGAAACCACAAGAGAAGAAACCTCAAGAGAAGAAGCCTCAAGAAAAGAAACCTCAAGAGAAATCCAGAAGACTCCCCTCTGTATATAGTTTATTAGTGCCACATTTGTAAATAGTTGAATACAGTATAGTTCTTGCCGTGTAGTGGCAGTCAAGAATATCCACTACCCCATAACCTCCCGTGGGTGTCGTAAAAGGCGACAAAGGGAAACAGGCAGGAGATGGGCAGCAGCATCTTCCTGATAATAGCCATAATTACAATAAAAAAACTGCGGTTGCCAACCCGCTCGCCAAGCGTGGCAACTATGGCAAATACTCGCCAATGAATAAAGCAACAAACATACGGCCCCCAGTCCCCGGCGGCCCCGCTATTCCTGGCTACGGTGGCGACCATGGTAGCGGCGGGGCAGGGGGTGCTCAGAATCTCCGGTGGAGGTTCGGTTGCCACCTTAGATGACTCGACCCGGCAACGTACAACGCACGCACCCTGAGGACTGACGAGAAGATCGTGGAGCTGGAAGAAGAGATAGACAAGTTGCGCTGGCATATTATAGGATTATCCGAAGTCCGAAGAGAGGGGGAGGACACGGTAATCCTCGAATCCGACAACTTGCTCTATCACCGGGAGGGCGACCATCTGTCCCAAGGAGGTGTCGGATTTATCGTCCACAAGTCTCTCGTTAACAACGTCGTAAAGATCGAGAGTGTGTCGACGAGGGTTGCGTACCTTATACTCAGAATCACCAAACGGTATTCGCTGAAGGTCATACGGGTTTACGCACCAACCTCGGCACACCCAGAGGAAATGTATGAGCATATCTCTAGAGCCATGCATTCCTCCAAAACCCAATATACGGTGTTAATGGGAGACTTCAATACAAAACTAGGCACAAGAGAGAACGGCGAGCTGAAAGTAGGGAAATTTGGAATAGGGCAACGGAACCCAAGGGGCCAGCAGCTGGCCGACTTCATGGAGAAAGAGGGACTCTTTATGATGAACTCTTTCTTCCAGAAGCGGCCCCACAGGAAGTGGACCTGGTCGAGCCCCGACGGTTCGACAAAAAATGAGATGGACTTCATTATGACGACCAGACGACAACTGTTCAGTGATGTCTCCGTGATCGCGAGGGTGAAAACTGGTAGCGATCACCGAATGGTTAGAGGCACACTGAACCTAAACGTTAAGTTGTAGAGGTCTCGTCTAATGAAGTCAACGCTCCGTCCCCCTCGTGCTCTGTTCCAAAGTCCCGAAACCTTTCAGCTCGAGTTACAAAACCGTTTTCAGTGCCTGGAAGACTGCAATGAAGTGGACGATATGAATGACAAGCTCGTGGAAACTGTCCATGCGGTCGGAGCTAAGATCAATACACATAACAATACAAAAAGATAAGAACACAAAAACTCTCCGATTACACTCTTAATCTTATGGCTGTTAGACGGGAGATGACGCTACATTCTTCAACAGACTTGACAGCATACAGGCATCTGAACAGACAGATCTCCAAATGCATGCGGCGGGACTTACGCAACTTCAATACAGCTTGTATTGAAGAAGCGATCGAGCGGAATCAAGGCTCCAAACTCTGTGCCAGAGATCTGTCTGCCAGAAAGAGCCAACTGTCAAAGCTGAAGACAGAATGTAGCAGCATCGTTTCCGGGACACCTGAGATTTTGAGTGAGATTGAGAGGTTTTATGGGCAGCTGTACACATCATTGTTGGAGCCACACGTAAGTGTGAGTAACGATCCAAGAGCGAGTCTCATCCGACACTATTCCGAAGATATCCCGGACGTCAGTCTGAGCGAGATTAGAATGGCTCTCCAGCACCTTAAAAACGGTAAGGCCCCAGGTGAGGATGGAATTACAGCGGAGCTTCTGAAAGCGGGTGGAAGACCGGTACTTGAAGTCCTTCAGAAGCTCTTTAATTCCGTCCTCCATGGTGGCATTACACCGGAGGCGTGGAGCAGAAGTGCGGTGGTCTTGTTCGTCAAGAAAGGTGACAACGCTCACTTGAAGAACTACAGACCGATTTCCCTTCTGAGCCGCGTCTACGTGCTGTTTTCGAGAGTCATTACGAATCGTCTCGCGCGCAGACTTGACGACTTCCAGCCTCCCGAACAAGCCGGTTTCCGAAAGGGCTTTAGCACCATAGACCACATACATACCCTTCGGCAAATTGTACAGAAGTCCGAAGAGTACAATTTGCCACTATGTCTGGCGTATGTGGACTATGAGAAAGCCTTTGATTCCGTCGAAATTTGGGCGGTGCTGCAGTCCATTCAGCGGTGCCAAGTTGACTGTCGGTATATCGAAGTGTTGAAGTGCTTGTACAGTAGGGCTACGATGGCTATCCGAGTACAGAACCAGAGTACGAAACCTATCCAATTGCAGAGAGGTGTAAGACAGGGTGACGTCATATCCCCGAAACTCTTCACCGCTGCATTGGAAGACGTTTTCAAGCTTCTGGACTGGAAAGGATACGGTATCAACATCAATGGCGAGTACATCACTCACCTTCGATTTGCCGACGATATAGTCCTTATGGCAGAATCGCTGGAGGTCCTAAGCACTATGCTCAATGACCTCAATAGTGTTTCCCAACGGATAGGTCTTAAGATGAACGTGGACAAAACAAAGATCATGTTTAATGTCCATGTCACACCTATGCCGGTAGTTGTTGGGAGCACTAAGTAAGTTGTTGACGAGTATGTTTACCTGGGACAAATAGTCCGACTAGCTAAGTCCAACTTCGACCGAGAGGTCAATCGACGGATTCAACTCGGCTGGGCAGCGTTCGGGAAGCTACGACACATCTTCTCGTCAGACATACCTCAAAATCTAAAAAAGAAATTGTACAACCAGTGCGTGTTGCCAGTGATGACTTACGGAACTGAGACGTGGTCCTTCACTGCTGGCCGTATGAGGAAGCTCAAGGTCGCTCAGCGAGCTATGGAGAGGGCTATGCTCGGAGTTTCTCTGCGTGATAAACTCAGAAATGAGGATATCCGTAGTAGAACCAGAGTGACCGACATAGCCCAACGGATTAGTAAGCTGAAGTGGCAGTGGGCCGGCCATATAGCTCGAAGAACCGACAACCGATGGGGAAGAAAGGTTCTCGAGTGGCAGCGTCGTACCGGTAGGCGAAGTGTAGGGCGTCCCCCCACGAGATGGAGTGACGACCTGGTAAGACATGCAGGAAGTCGATGGATGCAGGTGGCTCAGTACCGTGCTTTGTGGCATTCTTTGGGGGAGGCCTATGTTCAGCAGTGGACTTGTGAAGGGCTGTAATGAATGAATGAATGAATGAGTATAGTTCTACAGTACCCTCTTTTCTTTAAGCAGTTCCCTAGCGTAGTCAATTAATACAGTCCATTAACAAGTAAATTCATACAGTCCAAGTTCGATCCCTTATACTACTATGCTTCTCAGCTTTAGTTGCTATAACGCATAGGAGTATGTAAGTGCAAGCGAGACTGAAAATATGGAAGTGGCTAGTTCAGGTAGGTAATCCCGGTAACCCGCCCCCTATGGTTTGTAAACTTACGAACAAAGGAAACAATAAGTGATAATAAAACCAGTAACTTCTTTATGATTTTTATTAATAATTTTTACAATAAATGTTCGAATTGTCGACCTCCTGCTCTAATACAGGTGCGGCATCTTCTTATGAAAGAACGTGTTATAGGCCGCGCCAATCTTATGTTATTTGCTTGTTGAGAAAATTCAATTATTTTTTGTCGAAGCTCTGCAATATTGGGGATTGGTTTTGAATACACATTTTCTTTTAGATATCCCCAATAAAAAAAATCTAATGGATTAAGTTCCGGTGCCCGTGCTGGCCATAATATAGGCCCCATGCGACCTATCCATTTTCCTGGGAAATGTTCATTTAAAAAGTTTCACATCGGCAAAGCGTAATGGGCGGGGAAACCATCATTCTGTAACCACATATCTCGTAGAGTTGCTAGTGGTAAGTCTTCTAATAAAATGGGCAGGTCTCTTCTTAAAAATTCCAGGTCGACCTGCCCATTTAGTGCTTCTGGAAATTCCAAAGGTCCGATTATGCGCCCGTTAATAATACCGGTCCACAAATTTACTTTGAATTGATATTGAGACCTTTCTTCACGCATTAAATGCGGGTTCACCATACTCCAACTATGGATGTTGTGCATGTTCATAAATCCATCTTTCTTGAAAGTGCTTTCATCCGTCCATAAAATATTATTTAGGAAATGCGGGTTTTCTCTATGAATTTCTAGCATCCTCCTGCAAAATGCTACCCTCGGAGCATAATCCCATGGCAAAAGAGCCTGTACTTTTTGGTAATGGTAGGGGTGGTAACTATTGCGTTGGAGCACCCTATGTACAGTTGTCTTAGGTATTCCTGTCAACAATGCAATGTTACGAACAGAAGTTTGCGGATCATTTGCAACCTGCTCCAAAACTTCGTCTTCAATGTCAAAGTCTTCTATACCCCGTGCAGGTACTACCGCTCCAGTAAAAAAACCTTCAGCTAGCCTCCGATGCACATTCATAAATACACGATAGTCAGAATATCGCTCCTCGTCAGGGTACCTCTTACGGTAGAGTCTAGCTGCAGCTCGAGCATTACCACGACATTCACCATCAATAAAATGCATGTTGGCATATTGAACTGGAGTGTAGTGTACCGGCATTGTTTAACAATATCCAATTACAAAGTCCAGTAGACAGCCAAAGTCGTCACTAAAAGAGTATCCACATTGTCCAGTTGAAAGCCAAAGCATTCGCCAAGAGAGTATCCACAAAGTCCAGTAGAAAGCCAAGTCAGTTAGTATTAAAACACCGATGAGAACAGGAAAACAGGAGAAACGTGCGATGCGAACAAATTAGGGTAAAGTACTGACTATTTATTTGTTTGATTTCGTTGTTGAAAACAAAGGATACGGGCGAGGTAAGAGAAGGGATCTTACCTACCTGAGTTGTGCATAGTTCTAGTTACTTCCCTATCTTCTGTCTCGCTTGCACTTACATGTAAGTGCAAGTGCAAGAATTAATACTATGCGTCATAGCAACTAAAGCTGAGAAGCATCGTATGTATTGTAATTTTGAATGTATTTTGTTTAATACCAAAATTGGATAAAAAATTAAGTACTTTTTACTCTTCTATGGATATTAGATCTGAAATCGGCCAAATCAGGGTGAAAATAAATTATTTTTCTTTACATTAATCGAACGGACTAATCATTTAAAAACAATATCTAATTGAGTTATTTTCACAAAATCTACCCTCTGCGAAAAAAATTATAGTACAAAAAATTTAAATAAAAGTCATTATACCATTAAGAATATACCGAAGGTATTATACCATTTTGAAATTTACACGAATTGCGCCAACTTTTGAATACAGTTGCCAGGCCCATATGAGAACATTTTTTTACAGGGTGAAGGGTCCAACTTGCTCGATAAAACTTTAATGTTACATTTTTACACTTTTACGAATTTTTATGTATTTATTTTTACCAAATTGTAATAGGTACTGAAAAATAAAGTAAAAAAAAATTTAATTTTTTTTAAATCGATCTTCATTTGCAGCTGCAGCATCAAAAATATTGAGGCAAAGGATGATTTTTTGGAAAATTTATTAATCAGCCTTTATCTCTTAAACCACGCAACTTGAGTATAGGACATAATTTCTTTGGAGCAGTCCTTCCATGGTCTATAACCCCCTTTCATTTGATCGTTACGTACTGAGACAACCTGTATATCTGTTTCACTTACACAAGTCGCGAAAACAATGCCGTCGCAGATTAGATGAAGATGAAAGAATAAAGACATAAAGATGAAAGACACACAAACATGCATCGGTGGGTTTGTATTGCCTGCTATATGAAATTTTACCCAAAATAAGCAATATAAAGGAGTTTTTTTGATGCTGCAGTTATTTGTTTTTATTTTATATATGTATCTTTTCTTATCCGACAAACAGAAGTAAGAATAACTAATGAAATGAAAAATATTTAATTTTTTCTAAGTATTTTTTATTGTACTGATAAATCAAACAAAAAATAAATCAAGTAAAAAAAAATCCATTTTGTGTTTCTTAATCAAGAATATCTGAGTTTGAAATATGCATGAATTGTGAAATCATCGCTATATATAATCGGTCTTTGTCTCCTAAATTTAATCTGATAACATTAGCTACAAAAATTGTGGTTATTAATAAATTTCATTGATTTATTTCTTTATAGAACTTCCATACTATTTAACAACTTCTAAAAGTTTTTACATTTTTTTTGCAATAATACTGAAGAAAATTAATTGATTCAGGCTTGACTTTACGGAAGTCCATTTTTAAGATAATACTAAATGGTGTTAATCTGTAGCACTAATCCACTTAAATAAACACGCTCGTAATCGCTTTTTGGTCCTAGTTTTGATCCCGGAAGTGCTTAGAACAAATGAGAGTAGATTTCGAAGGCACCCAGTGAGTCGACTTTCTCAGCAATCGTATTATATCCACCCACTTCCTACGGCATGCTGCATCTTTAGATACCCTGCAAAATTATTAGTATAAAATAGGTCATATAATTAATAGATCATTCATGAATATTCTAAAATAAGAATAATATATTCCTTTGTATAAAAGTTGAAACATTTTATTATAATTTACAAGATATTTAAAATCTTAGTAAATATTTAAAGAAGTGTAATGTGGGAAAATTTCAAAGGCAAAAATGTGGCAACATTGAACCTAAATCGCAATATTCGATATTTTATTTAATTTTTTTGAGTTTTTTACGTTAATATGAAAACATAAACTAAAACTTACGCGTGGAAAGTGATTCCGCTTGATTATTTATGTTTTTGTGACATTGAATCGTATTCTTTCCCTACGCATTTACCCATTTTTTGTCGCGGATCGTTCGGCTCAACTCGGTCGGCGTCACAATGAACACTGAATCTACCCTATATAGTATATTATCTATGACTGAATCGACGTTAGCTGTAACGACGTAACTGTGGCCATATGTGCAGTGGCAACGCTTTGGCGCGGTAATTACTGTTAGGTTAATAACTACTATTGTTAAGTTAATAACTACTATATTATTGTTTATAATGGAATTACTTGATAAGTGATTTGACTTTATACTATAATTGCTATTGTTCGATTAATAACCACTATATTATTGTTTTTAAAGGAATTACTCGATAAGTGATTTGACTTTATACTATAATTATTATTAGTTGCTTACATTAATGATTGCGGATAATGGGTAGAGTAATATAATTTAACCGGAAGGATAATGTTTTGATTGCTGTAAAAGAGTGCGGCGGAAACGACGCCGCCCCACCTTGCTAACAAGTATAAAAGGTCGATTGGGAGTGGCATTCGCTCAACGCTTGTCGTCGTAGTTAGACGTGAAGTTAAATTGAATTGTGTATAAGTTAAATTGTGAAGTGAAATAAAGTGTAATAGTTGGAAAAACTGTTTTATTTTCTATCTGGTCTTGAATAGTATAACAGATCAGAAGTGGGATAAACAGGATACATATTTAATTATCTTGCCACGTGCACCGCTCGAATAATGTAAGTATTTTTTTTTATATAAATTGATAATTGGCATATTTTGCTATAAAGTATAACTGTATTGATTTCAAAGTTTGACGAATAGTTAAGAAGGACATTTATATGATTAGTTTTTTTTTTACCGTCTTTTTCGTATACGTCGTGAAATTAAAAACATAATGCTGATGATGAAATTCCTTTTCAATTATTGATTTCAAAGTTTGACTTTACCGTCTTTTTTTCGTATACGTCGTGAAAATTAAAAACATAATACTGATAATGAAACTCCGTTTCTTTTGGTGATACACGACATTATGAAAACCAAATAAATTTGTCAATATTATAATTATTGTAGTATGATCAACCGATACCAATAATAGATATAATGACTAAAAGGACCTACATAGCTTAACTATTTTTTGTATAACCTTTAAAGGAGAGAAAAGTTCGAGTTCGCGCTAGTAGAGGAGTTCGCCATGTACATTAAAAGAAAATCTCTGGACAAGTTCTAAGGTTATACCTGTAAGTTTCAGATAATTGGAGACAACATGGATGATGAAATTGCTCAAGGACAAGAGCAAGGAGATCGGATGACCCAAGGAAAGGAATTGAATGAGATTTGTGACGATATGACCAGTCGAGGGGAAGGACTGGCGCATCTAACTAATCAAGGAGTACCAAGGAAGGTGCAAGGACGGAATTTCAGCCCGTTATTGATACGGAAAACGCCCTGCTCGAGGATAGAGCAGGTGCGTTACAAGGATAAGGAGAGACAATCAAGGTTGGGAGTACGGACATAGTATCAGACTAGTGAGTCTGGTAGCGAAGATGGAAATGATGGAAGAAAGAAAAGGGACAAACGGTCAACTCGCCGTAGACTGGAATCGAGGAGTAAAAGAAAGCGCGATCATTCGACATCTTCAGAGGATGGTTCTTCACAGCATACTAGGCGTCAGCGGCAACGTAGTATAAGTAAGGAACCAGAAACTAATATTATATTAGATAAGTTTTTAGATATTTTAAGTAAAGTCAGGAGCTCGGATAGACCTAAACTTGCTTTCAACACTAACGTCATACCGGAATTTGACCCTTTGTCGAAAGATCAAACCATTTTAACTTGGATAAACAAAGTAGAAGAGTGTGCTGAAATTTATAGCTGGGATGAGAAAGAAATTATCCATTATTCATTACCTAAACTTAGTGGTGTTGCCAAAACCTGGTTTCAAGGATTACCTTCACTATTATATACATGGCCCGAATGGAAAAAAAAGTTATTAGAATCATTCCCCTGCCGCGAAGACTACGCCGA